TTCACTGCTAGCACAGGAGCCAGAGGTGGGCTGCACTAGCAGTGATCACAGAGCACCTGTTTCCATGCTCCCACCCAGATGTGAACCCTGGAACCCAGATGTGAATCACGGCTTCAGCATTTTCCTGGGCTGCCTGCTCTGGGGCTTCACGTGTCACATGTTGGGGTGCCCCTAGCAAACCCCAGTGTTAGCAGGTTTGTGGGTCCCTTGAGACAGTCTCCTGTGTGTCCAAGGTGCATGGAGGGTGGAGACACAGATTGCAATGGTGGCAGCATTCTGGGAAGTCTGCTGTGTTCCCAGGAAGTAGATGGGGGCCTTACCTGGTTCTCACGGCTGTCAGCTGCGAACTGTGGTGTGAGCAGATCACGGGCCTCCTGATTCTGTGCCTGCCAGCTGCTCGCAGCACACACAGAACCTACACATGGGCTGTGCTGGCGGAGATCAGGAACCACCTGTTCCCACACTCCTGCCCAGACGTAAACCCTCAAATTAAGAAAATATTTAGTATCAACCTTTTACAGTTCGAATAATTTGTAGTATATTTTTACTCATCTTTCTTCAAATAATGTTGGTGTCTATTGTGACACTTCTCATCTACTGCACTGGGACACACTGTTTTCTATACACTACCATTGCTGGTCTAGAGGATTTTAGGAATTTGTATACACATAAGAATGAATACACATAAGAATTTGTATGTTATACATAAGAATTTGTATGCACATGTTCTTACACATAAGAATTTGTATACACATTGTCATAGGATGGTGAAGGACAGGATTTTTCTCATTGAAGGGACCTGAGAATTCTTCTGCAGGGAAGGGAATACAGGACTGTGTTGGGACCTTGTTATCACCAACCAGATCCACCTTCTCTCAGGCATGGAGGCTCTGAACATAGGGATCTTGCATGGTGCATATTACCTCTCTAGTAAAGTGTAAAGGTCACTAATGCTAAATCTTCAGTTGCTTCTCTGTTTTTGCATTTAAATCTGAGTAAAGTGGCATGTGGGAAATAAAATTCTGACTCCATCTGCGTAGCATTCATGTGAGGTCTATAATCCACCTGCTCTCAGAGTGGTTTTCCAGAATGTAAGCATTCAGTTTGCTGATTGTGAAGTAGCAGTGCTCATGTGTCGATGTCCCCTTCCCACTTGGCATGTCTTCCCTTCATCCAGACTCATGTTAAGAAGGCTGATTTTTCTATTTTTGGTGGATAAATTGGTGAGTAATTTGGGCCCAGGAAAACACTGAACAAAGATCTTATTAAGGCTAAGAATGGGCCAAGAAAATAAAAGGGGGGGTTGGAGAGGACCTGCTGGAGGAATTTTGCAAGACTAGCACTTACCACCATTAGTAAAACCAACTTTAATCATAGATCAAATAGGTCCTATTATGTATTTTTCTAAAAGGCAGATCATATCTGTTACTATGTTAGAGAAAGCCATGTTTTTCCTTGGCTAAGTGAATCCTTTATTTTTGTGAAAGCAGTTATTCATATCTGTTTTCATATCAGACACAGGTGATAGTTTCTTTGCAAAGAAAAGCAGTTATGGAAGCTACTTCAGTAACTTACTAGGGATCAAGGTCCTTAAGAGTAGAGTTTGTCTGCAACAGAGGAGAAAAACCACAGCACAGAGAGTGCAGCTGTGGGGCTTAAGAGAACTGCATTCTTCACTCCCATGTGATCAGAGGTGCAAGATGACTAACGCAGCCTCCCCAGGCCATGAGTACCCATGTGTCCACAGAATGACTGTTGCCATGAGAGACCGTTCCCTCTCAGGTCTGAATTTGAGGAGAGACCAAAAATCCTGTCTGGACAATAGTCTCACGTTCACAAGGAGCCTCCAGTTGGGCATGTCTGGTAGAATACTCTCACTCACACTGAGGGCAGTTTCCAGATTCTTGTCTCAGGTCACTGTGTTCTGAAACAAAGCAGAGGAAAAACATCCAGATGCAGGGCCTTGCAGCTGGACCAGGGCCAACTTATGTACAGTGCTGGCCACCCCACACTCCACTGGCTCTGCTGGTTCCAGCCATTTGCTGTAGGGTTTTGTCAGTGGCAGAAAAGGCAGACTAACAGCCCATTTTGGAAGGAGGCTGGGAGCGTGCGTCACTTTAGACCTAAGAGCTCATGCCTCAGCAATGAATCAGTGACCCCAGTTAGGTTTCTGTGTTAATGTGCCCGGAAGTTTCATGTTACTAACGTCCATAAAGGCCAAACTAAACTTGCCACTTCATTGAATGAAAATGGCCCAAAGGCAATTCATCACATTTTTTAAAAAACTTACTGAATTGATGTACTCAAAGAAACTTTGATCTCTTTCATTTACAAGGCGTTAAAGACCACAAGGCCCACACAAAGAGCATCTGGGCGAAACACAGTCTGCTGCTATTAATGAAGTGACTAATCTTAGACTGTGGTCCAGGGCTCCCATTGTACAAGGCACGGGGATAGTGCTGTGGGGCAGATACACAACCAGAGCTTTCTAAATGAGGATGGGTATGCAGGTCAATAGCCAGGTGCTGTTTGTTTGGGGCAAGGCCCTACATTCCCCCACAATTTGGATGATGGGTTCTTTGAATCAAAATATAAAAGAGGACTGGAAGCAGGTCAGCAGAGGTGTGATAGAGGTGTGTGGGGACGCTTGACAGGGATGATCACAGCCCCTGTGAGCGTGGCTGGTGAGCTGCTGGCCCGAGGGAGGTGTTGTATGTGTTATCTGGGAATGTGGGCTTGGGCAGACTGATGGGAGCAGACCACATAGACCATCGGGAGCATGTTCCGGGTTTACTTTTATCTCAAGAGCAGTTAGAAGCAGGTAAGTGGCACGACCTGATTTGAAGCCTTTGAAAGCCAGCTCAGGGGCACTGTGGAGAGAGGTCAGGAGACCTGGAGCAGCAGAAGTGGCTCCTTGGAAACTGGCTGTGGCGTTGAGTCCAGCAGAGATGGGAACGAGAGAAAAGGGGCTGCATTTAAGGGAGACGTGGGAGGAAAATCCAGTCTGTGGTGTGTTGGCATTTATAGTTCATGATGTCATTTTTTATTTTCTTAGTTGTATGTCTGGTATTTGCTTTTACACACAAATATGTTCTGTGACCTAAGAAAAAAGTTATGCAGTAAGTTGAAAAAAAGTACAGGCATTTGAAAACATCAAAATTTTGCATAGGATGAAAAGAACATACACAATTAACTGGCACCACAGTGGACTAGGGTACTTTTGTTCTAGGTCTCTGTTCCTTTTTCCATGGACACAGTTTAAAGCCAGGTGTGGTAGTGCATGCCAGTAACCCAGTACTATTGGAGGCTGAGGTGGGAGGATCACAAGTTTGAGCCCATGCCCAGCAACAGTTTAGTGACTTATTGAAACCCTGACTCAAAATAAAAAATAAAAAGAAGCTGGGGCGATGTTCAGAAAGAATGCTTTAGATTCAATCCTAGTACCACCACAAAAAACAAACAACAGCAACAAAAAATACAAAAAACAAAAAGGGATCTTGCAAGGATACAGGCGTAAGTGGGGAAAGCCGTAAGTGGCCGTCTCCACATGGTGACAGGTGGGTTATGCCACTCTCTTGCCCCGTTCACTAAGAGCTTATCATTTGCCCTTACGTACATGGCTGCAGACTCAGACTCAGTTTCCCCTGGGAAGTGTAAGGTGTTTGTGGTCTCCATCTCCTGGCTGCAGGGCCAGAAAACAGAAGTCCTGAGGAGGCACACCAAGGACAGTGAGTGACTGGACCACTGGACACACACTCCCAACTCTTCCTGGGACATGCTTGAAGCAGATTAATACCAACAACTACACACTACTCAGGAGCGCATCAAGGGAGATGGAAATGGGAGACATTCAAAGGAAAGAACAAAAGCTGGCCCCTGGCCAGTGACCTGCATGCACGTCCCTCATTTAGAATGCCTCTCTTTGTGTATTTGCCCATCATGGTTCATGAGGGCTGGGGAAGTAGCTTAGTGGCAGAACACATGCTAAGCCTGCATGAGGCCATGGATACCATCTCCAGCACCAGAAAACAAATAGCTCCACGAAGGAATTGGGCTATGGTCAAGGATTCAAGGATGGAATAAACTCCCAATGCAGAGGGAGTTGGAAAACTAGGCCTGGAGTAAAAATATAAGGCAAATTCTAAAAGTGTCAGATAGACCTGTAGCTCCAGAAAAAAAGATTCCTGCAAGGGAGAGATTTGTGGAACCAAATTGTAGAGGCCCTTGAATGGTAAGGTAGGATATAATGGAGCTGTGAGAGCCTACTGCATTATAGAATGGAAATGCCAGTATCTAACAAAGACGAAGACCAATGGCTATACCAAAAGACCAAATTTTAGTTCATCCTGGACACACTTGCCAAAGAAGAGTGTAAGACATTCTATATAAGTAAGACCTCTAGGACCTAGGTTTTGACAGATGGAGCTCAAGGATGGGTGTGGTCCACGCAGCCTCCAGAAGACAACAGATAGAAAACCACGGGAGACATGGAGACCGTTGTGCTGAGTTCTGGAGACTGTAGAACCTCCACAGTGCCAGAGAGGACTGCTCTTTCTCGTGACATGTGGCCAGCCTGGTCAGCCTGGTCAGTCCAAATATTAATATGTTAAAATACCTATCAACCTTTTTTATTTTTAAGAGGATGATTCAATGAAATCACCGGTTTTCAGGGATTTTCTGAGCAGATTCTCTGTGACTGTAACTGTGAACACTTTTCTCTCTGATCATTTCTCCCAAGATTTGAGTGGCATCTTTTTACTCTCCATTTGCTCCATCTGGGCCTCCTGGACTTGCAGGAAAAGGATTGAGACGTGAGTTTTCAAGAAGCAGGCAGCCTTAGCGGCCCAGTTACTGAGATGGCAGGGAAAGGGAGGCATTGATCAGAATGGACTTCGCTTGTGTGGATTGCACCTTAAGGTTGCCATTTGAGGTACTTCAGGCTGAACCATGTTTCCACAGCAGGATGGCTACATGTTTTCATGTATTTTCTTTACTTTTAGGGTAATTACAGCACCACTGTGAAGCAGGACCAAGTTCTCCACTGGTCCTGGGAATCTGAGCTCCCTTTGGAATGTGCGCCACACTTCGTAAGAATAAAGAGTATTGTGAATGATGCCAGGTTCCCTGAGTTGAGTTTCACAAGCAACTGGAGTTCCTGGAAGGAAGTTCGTGGTAAGAAATGAAGTGGTTACTAGAGTGAGCAGGTTTAGTTCCTATTATTACCCAGGGATCAGTAGTCACATAATACACTTTCCCTTTGAGGAATCTTAGGTGGACAACTGACATTATTTTTCTTCTGCTCATGTTGGAACTAGAAAAGCATGCTTGTAAAATTTCCCCATAGAGATGGATGTCTGCATCCATGTCCCTTTGAACTTAATTATTGAGATAATTGTGCAGTTCAGACAATACTGTATTCCTTTTCCAGATGTGTAAGGTATGTTTATACTCAGTGACCAAGGCAGGCCATGAACCTTATATAATTGCCATGCCTCACAGCATATGCAGGGCAAATGATGAGGCCATTAAGAGAATTTTCCAGCAGTCAGGGATATGGGAAAGGCAAGAGTTTATTCAGATCGGAATAGTCTGCTGAGTAGGACAGTGGGCAAGTTTTCAAGACAGGAGTTTCACCGTGAGGGTGGGAAACTGCTGTCTTCATAGGGTAAGGTGTGGGGATGAAGCCTAGGCAGTGGTCTTCATATCTCAGGAATGCTTCTTCCGGGGCCCTTGGTTCCTGCTGGGCTCTTGGGAACACCTGTACTGTTTGTAAAGTTGTGTACTAGTCACGAACTGTTAAGTTCTCACTCAGGCTTCACAGCAGCCCGTCAGACTTAGATAAGGACATCTGTATGCTTTATTTTTCTGGTGCCAGGAATCAAACTTAGGGCTTTGAGCTTACCAGGTAGGCACTGTGCTACCGAGCTACCTCACCAGCCTTTAACATTTTGGGGAATGATGTAGCATTAGCTCAGGGGAGGAAAGGATGGTATTTGTATTTACTTCTTTTTGTGCTGTTGTTGGTTCTCCTTAGTTCAATGCCTCACGAATTTCCAGCACATTCTGGGCAGAAGTGTGTTATCAAAAAAATTTTGATGCTGAGCCCATTAACCCTTTTGTCAACACCATAAAAGTTTTCACTAAAACAACCCAAAGTATGAATACAGCTGAAGTAGAGGTGGGGAATCATTTTCTGTAAGTGTCCCAACAGTTTCTGTTGTGATTGTGGTACTTATCTCTGCTTTTGAAAACAACCATAAACAACATGTAGACAAATGAGAGTGACTGTATTCCAATAAAACTTTATAAATACAGATGACAGGCTCAAATAGGCCCAGAGGCCATAGTTTGCCAGTTCCAGGGCTAGAGAGAAGAAGAAGCAAAATAAAATAAAAAAAAATAAAAGCAGTTATTCATTGGAGTGATGAGATTGTGAACAAATATATTTTAAATGCCCCTTATTTTGATAATTTAACTTTGTTGTAATTAAAATTTTAAATGAGTTTTTCAGTAGCTTCTCATGCTTTAAGCTACCAGCCTAGTTCTAAAGCAATGACATCTGTCTGTCTGACCATATGCCCTGCCAGTTTATCTGAAATTCTGCCAATAGAATCATTCTTTTACTCAACATGTATGCAAATTTATTAGCTCAAATTTATTGATGTGAGTAGTTTGGTACATATATTAATAGTACTGATAGGGTGGAGTCCGCATTCTACCATTTTGAGCATTAATTTCATGCCCATGTCAGCCCTATGACATATGCTTTATTCTTATCTCTACTTCAGCAACAAGAAAGCCAAGGCCCAGGGAGCTTAAAGAACCCATGGAGTGATCAAGCTACTGAATAACGGAGCCAGGATTAGCCTGGAGAACCTGACTCCAGGGGCCAACCTCTTAGTGATTGCATCCTACTCCTGAAAGAGGGACAAGTGCAAAGACAAAAACTAGAGATTGAAAAGATAGTATGAGGAAAACAACCATGTTATAAACAGCTTTGGTGAAACAGACTGTATTGCCCAAAACTGTAGCCCCCAAAGTCACACAAGAATCAACAGCAACCTGATTATTCCTAACCTGTCTTAGTCACCTTCCCTGTTGCTCAGACAAAATACCCAACACTCAGGCCTCAGGAAGGAGAGTTTATTTTGGCTCACATTTTAGGAGTTTTAGTCCTTGCATGGTCAGCGCGCTCCCTGCGGAAGCCACATGATGGAAGGGTCTGGAAGGGGAGACAGCTGCTCACACCGCCGCCATCAGGAAGTACAGTGGAGGGAGGACCCGGGGAGGGAGGTGGACCCTTCCCTTCACACCCACAGGACACCCCTCCCAATGGACCCCCTCTCCAAACAGCAAGTCAGCTCAAAAGGCCCTGTAATCCAATCACCTTCCAAATGCTTGAGGGCCTGGGGGTCACTTTAGATATACAGTGTAACATAACCCTCAAGCATGGATTCTCACCTAAAATTGCATAACTGCATCATCGGGGACCTTAAAAAGGAAGCTAAAAGCAGGTGAGGTCGGTAAGATAGTTCTCAACAGTGGCCAGGTAGGTGGGCAGCCAGACCAGGTTGGCTGAGTGCTGGGATGACTCTGAGCCCCAAGCATGGGCAGCTTCTTCAGGGAAGCCAAGTAGCAGGCAAGGCTGGAGAAGGAGGCAGGAAGGGGATATAGGGAAGATGATGAGCTGCCATGACACAGAGAGCCTGTGCAGTTTGAAACGCCAGCGAGCCCTACAGAAGGAAAGATGGCTGCAGAGGGAGATGGGGTTGGAATGACTGGCATTTCTAGAAGGCGGGAAGAGATGGAATTGATAGGATAATGGACAGGTGAGGAGCATGCTGCTTGGGAGCTTGGTAGACTAGCAGACCAAGTGTCGCTTTGCCAGTGATGAGCAGAGCAAACAGTCTCAGAGGATCTGCCTGTGCCACTGTAAAGATGGACATGAGGTAATGTACACAACCCCTCGACATAGGGCCGCCCACATGGCCTGGACCCTAAATAGTGTGATCATCTGCAGTGATACTAGTAACGGCGCCGTCTCTGGCAGGACCAGCAACAGCAGTGGTATTCCTGTGACAACAGGAGCTATGTTGGGAAAGACGCACCAAAGGGTATAAGTTTGGTATAGAAATTTAATCTACTTTAAAGAAATCTACTTAGATTCTACTAAAAATCTACTTAGATTTACTTAAAGAAATTTAATCTACTTTAATTTAAAGATACACCAAAGGGTATAGGTTTGGCATAGAAATTTAATGTACTGCTTTCCCCAGGGGGTGGATAAAGCTAGTTCTCTGCTGAGGGAGAAGTGGGAAGGGGGCTGCCTTGAATTCTGAGTGAGATTCTAACCAAGCTTTTTGCTGTTTTGGTTTTTTTTTCTTGAAGCCCCCACTCCTGAACAGAATCACTGGTTGATATTCCCTAGAAATAAGCTGGTGGAAGAAGGCTCCAATGTCACATTTTGCTACAACTCGGCGAGAAATCCTGGCCTTTCTTGTTATGTGGAAAGTGCACTGATTGATGGAGAACAACTTGATTCAAATTTATTCACATTCACATTGACTAATATTCCCTTCATTAGGACACAAGGGACGAATATCTACTGCGGGGTGAATCACACACTCAAGGATGGTGTAGTTCTCTTTGTGTCAAGTAAGTGTGCAAATGTTCTGCCTACCTCTCTTCTTATTTCCTGTGGAATACATAGAAATCATTGCTGTGCATGCATTTGATTTTCCTGTTCCCACATCTTCTAGTAGAGATCTCACAATGATGTCCTGAAGCAGTATTTGAGGTTTTCTTGCTCTTACGACAATTTGATTGCTAGAAAGAAGTATTAAAGGAGAGAAAGTTCAGGTCAAGTCCTGGGCCACTGAGCAAATATTTTGCTTTGCCTCCACCACGATAGAATTATCTGAGGCCCATGCAGGGAGGATGGGGCATTAGTGAACAAGGAGGATGCCTGACCTTGGTGTGCTTACTGCATGCAATAGAAGTTACCAGGTGGTGGCCCTCAGTGGTGGCCACTAACTGCTTGGAAAATCGGTTTTATGGGCTGTATCAATGCAGTGGGAACATGTTGATTTTCCTATGGGTCTCTGTGTGCCTACTGGTGACCTACTGGCTTTGTCTTGTGATTCCTATTCCCCTAGACAATAAGGCAATTCCCCTACACAGTGGGGAAGTCCTATTTCCTTAGACAGTAGCTGTCTGTGACAGCTCCCTCCCTACTTCCCTTCCAAAGGAAGTACAGTAATGCCCGCCTCCTGGATGCTTAGTTCATCTGTACCCTTTAGTGTGGCTCTGGTAACTCTGATGTCTTAGAAGCATTTCACTGTCTTTGGATCACTGTCTGGACCCCAGCTATTGAGTTTGGCCAGGTCACAAAATCTGACTTTCTTGCATTCCCTGAGCATTCTGCAAGCCACAGCACACAAAATGAAACATTACCAGGCACTAGGAACATATCCTGTGTCAAAGGGACACAGTGCCAACCACTTATACAACATTGACTACCTATCCCACCCATGGTATCCCAGAAGTTACAAGAGAATGAGAAAAGAGAACAGGTCAAGATGTTGAGATGCCTGAAATATGACTGTCCAGTGCTATTAACTGGGTGTTGGGGCTTCAATCCCATGGGTCCCTTCACTGGTCAGTGTGCCCCTGTGGCTTCAGACCCAAACAGCTTTCATCTGTCGCAATAAAGGGGCTCAGTAGGCATTTTGCTCCTACATCTTGTCCTTTTGGATGTCATATGGAAAGTGCTGACCAAACACTACCCAGGCAGCTCGCTGAAGGTCTCTAGGGACTTTAGTTTACCTGGATATCATACTTATCTCAAGGTGGTAGAGGGCAGTGGACCACTGGGCCTGGGAACCCCAGGCGGTTGGTGGGGTGCACAGCTCAGACCACAACTGCGCTGGTGGGGGAATGCTGGCCTTCAGTACCAAGGTCTCCAGACCATCAGTGGAAAACATGTGAGCCTCAGCCGTGAACCCAAAGATGGCCAGTCAGGGGTCGCTGCTCTGGGTTCCTCAGGTGGCTGGTCGAGGGAGGGCAGGCTGCACCTCCCAACTGAGAGGTCCACAGAGACAGGGCCACTCCCACGTTGCTTCTCTGTGTCAAAGGAACAGGGTGGGGCATCCGCGCAGGCCTCACCCACCAACGGAGAGTTCCGCAGAGATGGGGCAGCTCCCGTGTTCAAAAAGGGCTCAGTAGGCCTTACCTCTGCTTTTCTTTTCTTTCCTTCACATGGGCAGAAGTGCTGGAGGAGCCCAAGAATTTTTCTTGTGAAACCCAAGACTTCAAGACTCTGAACTGCACCTGGGACCCTGGGGTGGACACTGGCTTGGGTTATAATAGACAGCCTTCACAGCAGTACACTTTATTCGACTCGTAAGTTAGCTCTGGTAAATCTATTGACAGAGTTTTCCTTGTTTCTTGTTTATGATGCTTGTGACAACATAAAATCTACACATAGAGTTGGGGAAAAGTTACGCACACATTTCTAATCTTCCCACCACAGTTGGAAGAAGATCTTTAGGTGATGACATGTGTATAATACTTTCTTCCTCAGGTTTTTTTATTTTTCAACTATATATGATAAAAATAAGAAAATATGTGAAGAGTCCCACATGGCCATCTAGCTTTACATAACTTTTCTGCCTTGTAAAGAATAATCAAAGTCAGTTAATTGATATTCTCACCACCCATGAGGGAGAACCATGAATTGTTTGTTAGCACTTTTCATCACATGTAACAAATTCATGGAAATGGATTTCACTACTAGTGTTTGTTGGTACTGGATCAGCATCATTATTTGGAATGTAGTTGAGGGTCACTGAGTGTGCCAAAGAGATAATGATAGCTGCGCTTTGACAAAAGTGTCAACCCTGACACTGTCATTTTGTTTTTTAAGAGTTTCCGGGAAAAAGAAATTTTGTGTGCACAACAACTGGTGTAACTGGGAAATTTCTCAAGATTTGCCAGCAACATTCAACTTCACGCTCACAGCTGAAAATTACTTAAGGAAGAGAACTGTCAGTACTGCCTTTGCACTGACTGATCGAGGTGAGATTAGCGTTGACAGCTCATTCTGGCCATTGGCACACCCTTGACACACCCCAGCGCTCTGCCATCACGTACAGCGCCGCAGATTTTTGCCTGCTTCACAGACTATGTGAAATCTATACTTTGTGCCTATAGTCTATGCCACGAATCTTCTTGGGTGCATGCACCCCTATTATTTGTGCGTTGCAATATTTTAAGTGTCAGTGAGCTAAGCAACTTTGAAACCAGGACTCTGGCATATACTTATTTCCTGTTATCTTGAAGCCTCCCCACCTCCTCTCATCAAGATTATTACTTTAAATTGTGTAGAGGTGTGCGTGTGTGCATTCTTATTTCTTACATGATTTTTTAAAATGTTTCTATTCTGCTTAATGTGTACCAAAATGACATTAATAATCTGTCTGTAATAATCTAGTAATTACTTTCTATATTTTTGAGTTGCTAGGATTTACTTGCATTATTGAGTGCTGCTAGAGTTTGTTGTATTACTATATAGTATTCCATGTAAATATACAGCATCTTATTTGTCCATCTCTTTGTCTTTTTTTAGTTTGTTGGGTTTTTCTTTTCTTTTTTTGGTTTTATGTAGTTCAGGGTGGGTTTGAACTCTGGAGATCCTCCTGCCTCAGCCTCTCCAGTACTGGGATTACAGGCATGTGCCACCACGCCCAGCTTTCCATGCATATCTTTCAATGGATATGAATTTGTACTAAGGGTTTGCTTTGGAGTACAGCTTTAAATTTTTTTTTTTTTTATTTTAAGGATAAAAGGAGGGAAACATTAACAGACATACAACATTTTACAACATATCACAAGCCAGCTTTAAATTGATATGACCATTTTGTGCATGTGTTCAATATTCATGTAACAATTGTTTTTTTTTTTCTTGAGTACATAGCTAAAAGTGGAATTGGTGCAGAAATAGAATAGATACAGTCACCATATAAAACTATATCAAGCTATTTCCCAATTGTTTTTCCAAATTAATTACCAAAGTGGTTATCCTAAATACACTCCCACCCTATGGATTCACATATTCTCTCTCAGTTGGTATTGTTGCTCTTTTAATTTTTACCAACTGAATTGGTGTGAAATATTGTACAATAGTCTTGATCTATACATCCTTGAGGTTAAATCTCTTTTCCTCCATTTTGAACACATCGGTTTCCTCTTTTATGAAATACAAATTAATGCTATTTGTGTATTTTTCTATGGTTCATTTATGCTTTTTCCATTGTTAAGAGTTACTTGTATTTTCTTGATGCTGATTCTTTGTTATTGATTTTTATATTGCTAATCTCTTCTTACAGTTTGTAATGCTTCAATTTCTTTTACATGTTTATTGTAAACAAAAGCTCTCAATTTTAATATAGACAGATATACCAAAAGCTTTGAAAGAAGTATCTTTGTTAACCCAAGACCAGAAAAATAGTTGCCTGTAATTTTCTACTTAGAATTGTAAATTTTTTTAAAAAGACAGTTAAATCCCTATTCCATCTAGGACTATTAAATAAGGTAGAGATATCAGACTAAATTTTTCTTATGAGTAATCATCCTTCCATTTCCAGTTATTAAATAGCTCTTCTTTCCCTGCAGCTTATCCTGCCAAATATCATTATTGTGAGGGTATTGGAGTTGTAGACTCAACTCCACTAGCCAGTTTGTCTATTTCTGCACTGGTCTCACACTAACTTGATGAACTCTTTTGTCTCTTGCCAACACTATAGATTGTGCTTTGTCTTGGCCAGATGGGACCTGTAGTTTATATCACACCCAAAGGGTCCCAACTGTCATAATCACCAGGGGAATAATATTGCTATGCTCCCTTTCCTTGAATAAAGAAGTGGCTCTTAGTTAAGATCTCAAGCCAGGTTCTCTCTTTAGGGGAGACTCCCCTTTTTTGGCTTTACTCTTCTCTCTGTAGCTCTTGCTTTTCCACTCTTCACAGGTTTGTCCCCCTCACTCCTGTGGTGAAGGCCTCAGGAGTTAGGTAATAGTTCTCCTAAATTAACATAATGTGTTACCTAGAGAAGTCCTTAAAGGATTTCCCAAGTCCTGCCCAGATTCCTGCATTTTCTTCAGTATCCCCCTCCTTTGTTTGAAAACCAAGTAAATATGGGCCACCCAGGGAAGTTCTTGGTCTTAACCCAGAAAATCTTGACTTCTGTGAGAGGGCTGAACCCTCTCGGAGCCCTAAGATCATTTCAAATCTCTCATTTATGTAAGCCTTTGCTGTCCACTCATTTAGGAGATTGTGGGCCTGATCAGCCTGCAGTAACTAAGGGTTATTAATCTGATAATTTAGGATGACTTTTGGCCTAAACAACTGAGCAAATAAATATTGGCAAACACCAGCCCCCCAGTTCCTACTTGTCCTGATCCCTCTCCTTTTCTCTTTTGTTAGTTGTAGTTGTGAATTCTTGCCTCAGTCAGTTAAGTTGAAAGAGGGCACGTCTAGGTTTTCTCCATGCCGGATCCTCACTTGATAAGGCCACCATCAGGTTTGGACGGTGAACATCGGCATTGGGAGTGCTGGTGCAGGATGAAAAGGTTGCTCTGCTCTGTGACACAGAAAGGCCCGTGGTGGCATCTTCAGTGTTTCGTGGTTCTCCGCAGTGGCTGCAGGTTGGGAGAACCTAACAAAAGCATTATACTTCCAGGACTCAGCTGCATGTCCCTGTGGGGAAAGCAGTTGATCAGTTAGTGCCTCACCCCCTCCTCTTCCCAGGATTTTAAGTGTTCCTTGCCTTTAGGATAGAGGTTGGATTGAGTTGGTTTTAATGCCCCATTCTGTCTGTCCTGTCCTGAGACTACTGCCTCTGTGGACACGGATTTTCGTTCTGGCTTGTCCCAGACCTTTCAGTCTCTGTGTTCCAGTCCAACATGGGAGGCTTTGTCCTGTATAAACTTGACCTGTCTAAAAATATTGCCCATGAGCTGGAAATCTCAGACATTCCCAGTGCCACTAAAGAAACTCTTGTACCATAGAGTTCTTTGGTCCTATTCTCAGCCTGCACATGACTGTGTAGGAGTGCATATAGGGGTGCATATAGTGCATACACTGCATCACCTCCAGATTAGAGTTGGAGGGCAGGTGACTAGGGAACTGTAGAAGCCTGCCACAAACCACCCTGGGACATGTGCTTTAAAGGGAAATGGGAAAAGTAATGACTAGAGCACTAAGACTGGGATATCACAGTTGCTCCTCAGTCTGGCGGCTGCCTGGTGCACTTCCATTTGCACCAAACATGTTTCCTAATACGCATTGCAGTGCCAGGATTCCCTTGCACATAATGGTTTAGTGTCCGTGTTTCCCTAGTGAGATGGGGTCCTACCCAGTTGCAGCTGATTTGAATTTCTTCCGTAAGTTGTGTGAGTTGGCGGCTACATCTTCCAGTGTCTCCCTTGGTCTGCAGATGATGGGGTGCATGCGAAATCCATTATCTTCCATTTGAGTGCCCATTCTTGTGTTGCTTGGGCAGGAAAGGTGTTCCAAGTGAAATCTCATGGGATATCCAAAAATAGGACATAAATTTCTCTCAAGAGTGGCCATGATAGTTCCAAGTTCACATAGATGACACGTATTTATCCCTTTCAGGCAGAAAATTGTTGCCATAGTTTTTGTGTCAACACAGGAATTTTTTTAATAGTCTCTTCTCTCAGTTATCTTCTCCTGGCTGGAAGGCCAACCTGTTGGCAATGGCCCATGAGTTGGAAAAAGTGCAATGAGAGAGAGACAGGGAAGATGGCTGCCTAGGGCATCATAGCAAGACCTTTCCCACTTGTCCTGATCCCTCTCCTTGTCCCTTTTCTCTTTTAATTTTTTACTTTCTCTCCTCCATATTCTTTTTTCTCTTTATCTCCTTTATCACCTCCTTGCCTTACCTCTTCTCTCCACCTTTCATCTATATAACAGGGAACTATATATGTGCACAAGAGAATAAGAATTCACCAGTGCTATAATTTAAACAATACCATTCGAGAGCATGTCAGGGTAATCCTTAACAAAACTATATTTATAGGATCCAGAAAAAACTAACTACAAATATACTAACAGATTTCAACAATCTCACAGCCTCCCTCAATCTCTAAATACGCTTCTGTCAATCCTCATACCTCTTCCCATCTACACCAGTATTCTCTCAAATCTCCTCAACACCAGCCCTATACCCAAATTATAAATATAATTCCAGCAGAGTCCAACCTCCTGCCTATTTTTAACCTATTGTTATGTCTCTTACCTCCTTATCTTCCCACTGACACAGCCTTTTCCCCCCTTCTTTCCTTCCCCTCATCCTCCAAATCCCAGTATACCATAGTCTGTAAGAGGTATTGATAAATGGACAAAATTATCAAAACAACTGTTAATACTGAGATTGATAAACTATCAAAACAAGTTTTAGTGTTTATGAGGTGTTGATGCTGTTATAACCAGTAGAAATTCTCTCCTGACAACACAATGGCTAGTTACAACCCAAATAAATTGAAAAATTTGTAGTGGTAGACCATTCCTTTTTACAAAAAAGCTAAGATCACTTTACTGGAAAACAGAACCTAACTAAAGAGATCTTCACACCAACAAAATATTGTCTGCACTCTTTTTGACCTCAGCGCTCAGCATACACACAAAAAAGGAACACAAAGACACAAGGCAACAGAATGCCCCCAAGGACTCTGAACTCTCCAAAAGCAGATCTACGGGGCACTAGTGGAGAGGAAATGAAACACAGAATAGCTGAGCTGCATGAATTGATTTAAAAGGAACCAAACAAACTGAATGAGCTCAAAGATGTCATAACCCAAAAGACAGTGGAACTAACAAACAAATTGACTGACGTAGTTATTGAAGAAACAACAACAAAAATTAAAAGAATTGACCAGAACAATTCAAAATATGAAAGACAAATTTTCAAAAGAATTAGACTCCACGAAAATGGATACCAACCTAAAATTCCAGCAACAAAGAATGCTATTAAATACATGAACAGCAGAAAAAACTA